CACACACACACACACACACACACACACACACACTGCTTTGATGCAGCTGCAACCTGTGGGCGAAACACAAATAAAGTGGCCTATTATTATTTCATCTCACCAGACCTTCATTTCCTGTTAAAGAGAATCACACTTTTTCCACACAGTTCTCAGTTCTTTGTTAATCTCAAGTTCCTGTTCAGGTTGTAACTGAACCACAGCACAGTGTAACATCATGGATGACATTTATTTAAACAACATAGCAATTAATCACAGAAAGCTAAAAGGGGACCTAAATTCCTCAGAAAATATTTATGTCACTTATGATGATATCCAAACTGTGGAGATGAACAGGACTGGACCTGCACCTGCATTCACAGGTAATAAACAAATAATTTGACACTGTTACAATTTTATGCACAAACACAGGCAACTTTACTAAACAAAAAAAAACCCCATTGTTTACCTGTTTTAGCAATTTTGTATTTTGATGAATGAGATTTGACTGACCTGGCTGAATAACTTGCTTGTTTTTGGCTACAATGTAGCTTGCCATCACCAGTGTGTGAATGTGTGTGTGAATGGGTGGATGACTGAATGTGTAAAGCGCTTTGGGGTCCTTAGGGACTAGTAAAGCGCTATATAAATACATACTGTTGTCTACAGTTTGAGCAACTATTGGCTGTATGTATGTCTCTGTGATCATAACTGATCTCATATCTCACAATACGCTAGCATTACTTACAGCAAGTGTATAGTGGCTCCTGGAAGCTCCGTCAGAAAGGATCTTTGTAAAGTTTCACTGCATCAGAGTTAAAATAATTATTATGGATGATGGATCATGGATGAACCGTCTCAGACAAATGTTTCTGTGTTACTGTAAATGTGTTTTACTATAGTCTGTTCTGGTTTTGAGATCAGAATCTTAAGAGAGCTTTCCTGACCCCCGTCATCAACGCTTTTCAGTTATCCTAAAAAAAACCAATGTAGCAAATGTAATGTAAATAACAAAAGAGTTTTGGGAAATTAAAGCATTAAGTCTTTTATCATTCTGGCAAAATATCAAAAAAGTATCACCCTGACTTAACTTAAACAATATCGAAGAGAGTTGTGTTTTTGCTATCATAGTAGGTGGGTAATGGATCAGAAATTAAAACTAGGTCATCATGGTGATATAGATTTTTAAAAATCAGGGAAACAAAGAAAATAGAATTTATTATTTTTGTCTAAATGACAAAAGGACTGCAGTCTTCTTTGATAAGAAAGGGTCCCCTGTGATGGAGAGACCCGTACCTATCACATGGTAGCCCAGTGCATAACAGCAGAACAGTTTTTCTGTGTTTGTTTGTCAGGAAGGCAGTATTTGCACTCTGGGAATAGTTCTGATTTCTGTTGTGCATGCAAAACATAAAAATAACCACATATTGTTAGAATAGTGCATGGAGAGATAGCACAGGGTTGTTGTTTTTTTCATTATTCTAAAACTTCACAAATCTTGACTTATATGCCTAGGTACTAAATTTGTGAAGAAAAGTTCCTGCAGAGCTGCTGTGATTCTTCTGGGCCTGCTGTGTCTTCTTCTCTTGATTGGACTCATAACTCTGTTTTTTCTTCGTGAGTACAGCAGTTAATATAATCGTCAACAGGTGATGTGTAGTTGTTTAACATGGTTTTCATATTTTAATTTCAACGCAGTCACCCAAGGCAAATCTCAGCAGACAATGGAGATGATGATGTCATACAACCGTTATGAAAACTTGACCAGAAAGTGGAATGAGTTGCAGACCAGTTACAGCAGCCTAACAATTGAACAACACAAGTTACAGACCAGGCACAGTATTCTGAAAATGGAACGAGACCAGCTACAGAAAAGCTACAACAATATGGTGGAAGACAGAGGCCAGCTCCAAAAGAGACTTGAAGACATGACCAAAAATAGAGATGATCTTCAGAGAAAGTCTGTTGGTAATTATTGTTATTTCACCTCCATAAAAACAAAACAAGTTTTGGGGGGATATTTTGAAGTAAGGCACACATGTTTTTTTTTCTCAGCACATTTATAATCCTATTAAGGTTTAGGAAAAATATTAGGAAAAGTAAGGTTCAGTGGATCCCAAATGACATCTTAAGTAAATCTTGGAGCTAAATGTGACTCAACAAAAGTTTGAAGTTTTGAAATAATAGAAATTTATTATCCAAAGCAGCACACATGCAGTGTTGGTTCACCGTGTTTGATTTATACAGTATATGTCACATCACCCAATTAAAACCACTACAAAAGAGCTGATATAATACTGTAATATCTCAGTTAAGACTGCATTTAATCACTTAATTCAGCTGACTTCTTCACCCAGGCTGAGCTAATTCATGGTGTGTCTACTGTTTTTCATTTCTCTATTTTGTTGTTAAAAAACTGTCAAACAACCAAATGCAGAAGTGATTCCACTACTGACAGCTGCTAGAAATGACAAAAGCAGCATCAGGCCTCCTAACAGTGATGAGTTCACTGCAGAGATAAACTCATTTCACTCCACCTGCAGACATTCCTGTGTTTTTTTTTTTTTCTTTCCTTTAACAGGTTGTCTGCGAGAATGGATGCACTTCAATGGTAGTTTATATTACATTTCTTCAAACAAGAAATCCTGGCAAGAAAGTAGAAATGATTGTCTCCAGAGAGGTGCTGATCTGGTGATTATCAACAGCAAAGAAGAACAGGTGATTTTCTAAATGTGGTTTCTGTCTATATGTGTGTTGTATATATGTTATATAATATATCTATATCTATCTATCTATCTATCTATCTATCTATCTATCTATCTATCTATCTATCTATCTATCTATCTATCTATCTATCTATCTATCTATCTATATATAATGTATATATATTTCTTTCTCTCAATAAGGAATTCACAAGAAATTTTCAAAAGCTGATGTGGATAGGATTGACTGACAGTGAGAAAGAGGGGATCTGGAAATGGGTGGATGGTTCTCTGCTTGTTACAAGGTTTTACTTTTTTCTTATTGTGCTGCACCACAAGATAAGTTAAGTTAAGTCTATCAAGTCTTAAAATCATTTATATACGACCTTGTGTCAGTGAGTGCAATGTTAAGAGAAATTACAAAAAGATCTTCATGTCTTCTCTCTTCTCTTCACTCTAAAAACAACATGTCACCACGGCTTAGGTCTGCAAAGTTCAACAAATCACAAAACTTCAGGAATGTGCTGTCTCAGTCAAAGTCAGAATTTCAACTAGACTGTGTTTAAACAAATGGCCAAAAAACACAGCAAACTGAAGCAGCATTGTGAAAAAGAGTGGACTGAAAGTCTTCTGCAACGATGTCAAACAGAAAGAACTTAAAGTTATTGCTGCTAAACATAGTTAAACAAGATTCTGAGTCATGCGGTGTGCTTACTTCTTCACATACTGCTTCTATATTTTGGCTTAAGGTTTGTTAAATAAATTGTCACAAACATCTGTATGGCATACACATTAATTTGTGAGGACCGAAGAACAGGATGTAGGAGGCAGAAGTTAAAGCCAATGTAAGTATTTAATGTCATTAAGTCCAAACGTTTCAAGGTTCAAATCCAAAATTTCTATAATAAGATAAGCTCAGAAAACATTGGAATACACAACTACACAGACAACATGAAGGAAGGATCAGACAAGATATGCAAGAGTGGAAACAAGAGGGGAACTAAAAACAGCTGAAAAACAGAGGAACAAGATTAACTTAACTTTGCTAAGAAGAACCCAAAACATAACTACACATAAATAAACAAAATAAGATTCAGAAAAGCACAAAACCTTGGGCACTGAGTAATATGTCATGTATTTTTATTTTTTATTTTTTGTTGCTGTTGGGGTCAAATACAGTTTAAAAATATGGATACAACATGATGGCTTGATGTTTTAGAAGAGATTTCCCAAAATGATTTGACAAACAGGAAAAATATTGCAGTCTTATAGCAACATAATTTTTGATATCTGAATATTTTTTTTTTGTACAGATTCCATTAAAGACTACAACTTTGTTTACCAAATCATTGTTTTTTTCAATTCACTTTATATACTGCCATTTCACAACAGTCACCTCAAGTGCTTTATCCTGTAACGTAAACTTCCTAAAATATTAAAAAGGAACCCCAACAGTTACCATATCAGCAAATGATTGATTAAGTATGGAGTGGTGTATAAACCCACAGGGAGTGAAAAGAGACGTGTAAAGAAGAAACACTCAGTGAATCACTGAAAGTCCCCCAGCAGCCCAAGAGTAATGCAGCATAACTAAGGATACAGGGTCACCTGATTCAGCCCTGACAATAAGTTTAATCAAAAAGAAAAGTTTGAAGCCTAATCTTAAAGAGAGAGTGTGTCTTTTGCATTGTTTTTTTGTCTTTTGAAATATTGTATTTTGTTTGTGTTTCAGCTACTGGGCTACTTTTGAGCCAAATGGTTTTCCACAAAGAGACGAGGACTGTGCAGAAATAAAGAACTTTCATTTCCCAAACACCTGGAATGATGAATCATGTGACCTTGAGAGAGTCTGGATCTGTGAGAAGAAACTAGCTACATAAATCAGCATCCAAACTCATCACACAGTGATAGAAAACAGAATAGAAGTTCATGAAATGTATATGACTGATCCTGTCAGCTCACTGTTTTCTACAGTATAAGCTTTGCATTAAAAGTCCTTATTATCACTTCCTTGTACATGACAGTGTGTGATATAAAGAATCTCTATATTCTGTATATCTGTATATAGCATATCCCAAATATATTTAGGAAGTATGCATACTTCCACAGTAGCAGTCAGGTACAGGTGATCAAATGCATTGGATTACCTGATGATCAGTAATTGTGAGCACCAAACTGCATTACAGTTTGGTACGGAAGCTGCTCTGCCAGCAGCCAGAAATCACTACAGAGGCTGGTAAAAGCAGCAGAGCACATCACTGGCATGAGGCTTCCTGCCATTCAGGACATCTATCTCCAGCGGTGCCTCTGCAAAGCACACAGCATCATTAAGGACCACAGCCACCCAGCACATCAGCTGTTCTCCTTGCTACCATCTGGCAGACGTTACAGGAGTCTGTCTGCTCGGACTACGAGACTTAAAAACATATTTTACCATTAAGCCATACGACACCTCAACCACAACACTTAAACAGACACACACACACTCCACAGATGCACTGAGAATCTGTCCTACAGTTTCACAAGTACATTGTACACTCTGCACTGGTCACTTCATTCTTATTAGTATTCAAACAGATAAAAACCTTACTCTGTGCAATACTGTACTAACTGCCACTCAAAATTTTGTACTATTCAGATTGTACTGCTGCTAACTCCTGCCACTTTATCTCATGTGCAATATCCCATTTGCTTTATTTTTAAACTACAGAAGTCTCTTTAAATGGCCACATGGTGGTGCTGCTGTTTTGGCTCAAAAAATATTCAGTTAACTCCACCAAAGTTTAAATATTTAAATTACACATCACATAAAAAGGACATAGTAAAAGATTACCTGGTCCTAAGCAAGTCTTAAAATTCTATGAATACAACCTTACAGCTGCAACAGAAATCAATGTTAAGAGAAACAGCGGGAATACTATCTTTACATTGTAAGGTAAAGAGCCTGCAATAATACAGGATTCTTAATTCACTAATTAGTTTTTTGTATAGAGCATTGTACATTATAGATCTGAACAAAATGTCTTTTTTGGGTGGTTTATCTTGTTCTCTCTCTTGATTTTGTTTTACACAGTGAAGAAGTATTTGTGGTTTCCTCATCGTGCTTGCATATTTGTGGACCTGAAGAGAGCGTTGCTGACTACAGACAACTACAGACAGTTGCAGTGAGTGTATGTGTAGAAATGTGGTGGGTTTTGATGTTTCTTATACTCCCCACAGTAAATAAACAACCAGAGATCAGATCGCCGGGGTCCTTCATTTATGCACTTAACATTGCAGGCTCCCCTGCAGGATGTGGAACTACAGGAGGGCAGGCCCATGTTGTGTTTTTGGGCTGTGTCCAGGCTCCAGAGTGGGGCCCTGGCAGAGTAGACTGATCCCTTGAGTTAGTTTCTTCCATGGGGGTTGAATCTTGGTCAGGCCCCTTACCCAGGACCAATTTGCCTTGGGAAGACCCAGCAGGCTAAGAAGCTCTGTCAATTTCAGGAGGGCATAATCTGTATTTTATTGTTTTACATGTATTTGAGATATACATTCATACCAAACTGTGTGGTTGCTGATGTTTTAAGTGCCCACCTGCAAATGAATTCTGGACATTCAGAAGTAGGTCAGCAGGAAATTGTTGCATCCTGTGGTAGATGATTTTACAGATCAATATCTTTCCATGAATAATAACATGCTCACCTACTGTGGGAATGTTAGTGTTTTTCTGCCTTTGTTTCACTATATGAGAAAAGTCCCTAAAAAAAAATACACGGTGTGCTGCTAAGCCACAAAAAGCACAGTAGACATTGTTTTCGAGTGTATTCTACAATAAAGTGTTCATTATGAGCCTAGGCAAAAGAGTTTGGCTTGGCCTGACTGACCAAGATGAGGAAAATGTCTGGAAATGGGTGGATGGGACAACTTTGGCCAAAAGGTATTGAAATGCTAATGCAAAGTAAATTTGCAGCTAATGTTAATATAATTAGATTTTAGTGTAGTATTGGATAATTCTGACCCAGTGATAACACTGGATTTATTTTTGTCCTCCTCTGGAGATCATGAAGGTGAATGCAAAATCCAGTATATCCAGTTTGCTGACAGTTAAAATATTTCACTCTAGGCTTAAACTTCATACACTATTAGTTAACTTTATTTCCCATTATTATTAGTGCAAAATATATTTCACTAGAACATTGTCCCTTTGTCAATTTTTTTCCGGTCACAGCTACTGGTACCATCCACAGCCTGACAATGGAGGAGGCAAACATATCGAAGAGGATTGTGCCAAGTTACAACAGTGATATGTTACTCAAATAGAACGACATACTTGCTTAAAAACTAATCAATGGATTTGTGAAACTGTCTTACTGTCTTAACAAATGTCTTAATGTTATTTTTCAAAAATATAAAATCTCTTACCACTGTCACAGAGATGATACCCTGTTTCTCTTTCATGTACAATCAACATTCAGACCTTCGCTGCATTGTACACATGTACACATCTGTCCAAAATATGTTTAAATCCATCATTTAAATTCATCATGTATCATACTGTATCGCCCAAAAGTATTTAATACAACTTTAGTCTTTTTGCAATATACCAAATATATTGTTGTTCATTTTATTGTTTCCGATGTTTCCATGTATGTATTTGTTTTTGTTTGATCTATTGTTTGGACACTTGTATAATAAGGAACTATTTTTGCATTTTTTAAAAACCCTTCAATTTTTAGACACAAACCCCCAAATTTCCCATAATCAAGCTGTGGGCAACAACAGAAAAAAATTAAATAAAATTATAAAGTTTCATTTCAAGCCTGTCCCTCTCATCCTTAAGTCTTGTTATGTTATGTAGGATGCAAACTGAATGTCGCATCCTCAATCTAAGCGTTAAAGCATGTCTTGCTTTGGAGATAATTGCAACTCACAACATTTTTGCATGTACTATTTCTTTGTCCTCGTTATACCTTTGCAGTCTTTTTCACAGTCATGCTCAAGGAAACTTGGACATGTGCACCTGAGCCCAGTGTGACGGTTGGAGTTGCACAGTTGATGATGTGTGTTACATCAGTCTGTTACCTATACACTTCCACTTCCAAATAATGCAACATCAACCATTAAGTAATTGGTTTTCACTGTCAATGTTGACACTAAATTCAAACGTAAAATGAGTCTTTTGCTGTTTCACACAGTGGGTTCTAGTGATCAGCTGAGTTTTGTGATTTGATTCATGATTAATCATAGTTGTTCTTAATCATGGTAATCATGGTATTCTTAATCATCTTCCTTGTTTTTCTGTCTGTGCCTCCCTGTGTCTCATTAATTAATTTTTTTTTTTGGGGGGGGGGGTTCCATTTTCTTTCCTGTCAGTTTTGTTTCCTGTCTAGCTCTCCCTGATTCTCTGATGCTTTTAGCCTTCAATGTTCACTTTTTACTGGCTGTTTGTGTCTCTGTAAATTATCTGAGATAATCCTTTGGAAAACTGAACTTTTACCACACTCTGTTGCTTCATCAGGAAGATTACGTAATCTCAGCTTTGTCATCGATCACTAAGAGTTATGCAATGTTGGAAATTTTGATTTGTCACCTCAAGCATTACCATTCAAAACATTTTTATTGTTGCTATTCTTTTCCCACATGGCTGCATGACTAAGAAGAAAAATCTTTGCCATTTATTTATTTATTCTGCGGCCTCACAACCTTTTTTAACCACAACATTTTTACTGCCGTCGATGGTACTGTTAGTAAATGGCATCTACAATTCTGCAAACTAACATTTTAATAAATGACCCAGTGTTTCTAGTTTTAAAAGACTTAAATACATTAATATTAAAATGACTTGCTAAATATTATCATGTTTAACAAAACGAGTAAATGCTGTCCTTAATTATAATTTGTATGGTCTTAATTTATCGCATATTATTTGTCATTATGTTGAATTGGGCTTTTCACAATATCAGGTTTCACTACAATTAAGATATCGCTATGTGTCTGAAAAATATAAAATAGAAATAGAAATGCTATGAGCCACACAGAGGTTGGTTTAGATTTGATTGGGCAATATATTGTCGTAATAAAAATTAACCAATGGGCTGCTATCAGTGCTTGTAGGGCCAGTGCACAGTTACCCTTCAAGCCAGCCTGTAGCCTGTATAATTCCAGGCTATAGGCTGGCTTGTAGCCTGTAAAAAGTGCAAAATATATATAATGACTCATTCAATTCAATTCAGTTTTATTTATATATACCAAATTACCAGTCCAACCCTATTTATGGGTTACTTTAAAAAAAAAAAGAAGGTTCACAAGGTATTACAGGAAGCAAATGAATTGATTAAATAAAAGAGAAAACAGCTGCACTTTAAAGGCTCGAGGTACAATTCTGCATAAATTATTCATAAGCAATCCATAAAGGTTAGTTATAAATATATTTAAAATAGATTAAATCACTGAGTCCTCCAAATTTGACCACCACCTCATCCACACTGGATTAACTCCTATGGTTCCTCCCGCCAGTTGTGGATGCATAGCAGGGCTGGCCCATGTGCCCTGGCTGATCATCATCGGGAAAGGCCAGACTACCAGACCACCTACCACTGTTGCCTTTTCCATAGCGTTCTAAAGAACTGCTTTTAGCATTAGTTTTCCTTGGGAGACCCTATACTACAGACAAACTGCCACCTGCAACAAATCACTATTAATTATGGCAGACAAATCCCCCCCCAATAGAATTACTGGTTTTGGAACACTGGGTGTTCCCCCAGAGGAACTGGTCCATTGGAAGTGGGGGGTGAAGGGTAAAACCTATGTAATACTGAGCAAAGTGAAGGACAGAAAGAGGAAACAAGCAAACAGAAAAGTATAAAAGAAGAAGTGGATTCTACATCATCATTGACACTCTCCAGGCAGTTGTTTAAAAGATGGCAAGAGCTGCCCATAGAGAGCAACTAGAGATTACTATAGATTATGCAAATCTGCCTGATGTGTCAGCCAGAAGTCGCTCTAATAAACACAGTCAAGGGGCTGCTGCTGCACCAGGTAAGAAATAAATCATTTTGATTTTTTCTTTAATAGCAATGAGAAAAACACATTTTTAAAGGTATATTTTAAATGAAGCAATAATTGATGTACACATGTTACTGATGTATACATATTTTGCAATGAAAACTCTTACTGATCTAATATGTCATTTTATTCATTTTGCTGTTTTGTGAGCTAATAATGAGCTTTTCTCTCTTCTGTATTTATTTGGGCAGCACAGTGGTTAGCACTGTTGCCTCATAGCAAGAAGGTCCTGAGTTCAATTCCACCATCAGGCTGGGGTCTTTCTATGTGGAGTTTACATGTTCATCCCGTGTTTGCATGGGTACTCTGGCTTCCTCCCACAGTCAAAAGACATGTAGTTAGTGGGAATAGGTTAATTAGAAAAACTAAATTGCAGATAGATGTAAATGTGAGCGCAAATCGTTGTCTCTGTCTATGTGTTAACCCTGCGACATACTGGCGATCTTTTCAGGGTGTACCCTGCCTCTTGCCCCAAGACAGCTTGGATAGGCTCCAGTGCCCCCTGCAACCCTGAAAAAGGACGAGCAGAAGCAAATGGATGGACCCAAAACCTCGAATTCCTAGAACTCAACTTTTTTTGAATGAATGAAGAAGTCAGTGCCACCAAAATTAGAAGATTTTTGAAAAAAAAAACAAAAAAAAAACAGGAAATGTTTAGAAACTTTGGCAGAGTGACAGCAGAATCTAGAACTCTGTTCTCCATTTCTGTTTATATTAGTCAATTCCTTCTCTACCAAACTATCATTTATGAACATAACTAACTGCTATTGTGCATCGAAGTGAATTCTAATTTAATGGGTATTTTAAAAAAACAAAGACATAAGTTCTCATGTACAGTAATGCTGAACCAGGGTATGGGATGTATAGCTATATACAGAGCAATTGAGTAAGCAACAAAAAATATTTTCACAGAACTGCACAGAAAAAAAATGTAGACCATCAATACCACAAACGCATAAGCATACAGAAACTTGCATCGAAGGCGCTCCTGGGTTACAGGGAAAGAAGTGCCATGCTGTGTCCATCTTCTGCATTCTGTTCTCTCTTTCCTTTGCAAAACCACTACACATTCTTACTCCACCATGCTCGCAAATTGATGTAACTGTTTCAAGTTTTACAGTTGTTTTTACATAACTCATCAACATAATTTTCCACTAAAATGCTTTTACCAGGATCATCGTCTACATAAAGAAAATTCATTTATAATAACTTTCCAAACAATCATTGTTTATACTGCATATTTGCCTAATATTTAAATGAAAACATGGAAATGCAGATATCTTTCAGTTTTGTGAGTCTGTCAGGTTTCGATGAGTAAGGTTAGCCCAAAAATTCTGCAGACCTGTTTCTTTAAAGAGGCTACTTAAAGAGGACTTTTTATATGGGTGTGTTGCAGGGAGAAAACTATTCAGACTGGTTGCTGTTAGCTTTGGACTCCTGTGTATCCTCCAAGCTGCTGTCAACATCTCCCTGCGTTTTGCTTTCTGTAAGTAGCGTAATTAAACGTTTACACACCTTTTTTTAAAATCAGATATTGGAGCAGAGTACTGCCCTAGTTTAGTTTTGTTGTTTTATCACTGTGTACATCATTGATTAATGACAAGATGAAACCTTTGTAATCCTGTGTCTAGTTTTCATTTAGCTCACTAATACTGAGGGCAAGGAATTGTAATACGTACTGTTAGAATTAATAGTTGTTTGACATTCAGACAGAGAAAAAAGATTTGGGGAAGTTTAGATTCAAAAACATCAAGTCAAAATGCAACCAAAGAACCCCTAAAGATTGCATTAGAAAAAGGAAGGGACTTTCCAGTTAAAGTCATGTTTCAGTTTTTGAGTACCAAAAAACTCAAAATAAAGCCATAGTCATGAGGTACTTACATTTCACTGTGACACAAAATGTTTTCCAGTATCGGTTTGAAGAAAAAGTAATTTTAGGCATTTTTTGGAGGGAGGGCTTGTCTTACATTCTGTTGACAACATGTTTCTGCTTTTGCAGACAGTAAAACATCATGTATTGAGACAGTGGAGACCGAAGAGCTGAAAAACCTCACTGGTAAGCATGAGTTTGTAAACTTTGTAAAGAGCCCTTTCATACACATATATGTATATATACTAAGGGTTAATAATATCAACACTTTGGTATACCTGTGTATCATGTAGGATATATTACAATAAATGAGTCTTTTTTATCGCTAATCAAATTAATGCAACATTCTCAAGCTGTAAATGATATTTACATTCAAATGGTTACAGCAGGATTTTGTTCTGTGGTAGGCGGCATGGTTTTATTCACCATCTAGAGTTAAATGAAAATTTACACCAACTTAAACTTAACATGTTACAGCGTTTTACTTCTCACTTTTTGTATTTGACTATTTTTACCCTTGCAAGGCCCTTCCTCATTAGCAAACATTGTGTAAGTGCTGTAAGCAAGACTTACAATACTTAAAGGAGATCTATTTAGCTCATTTCCAGCTTTATGATTCTTATTCTTGGACTCTGCTTAAATTGCTGTGCTTTTTGCAGTCTATAATACCTCTTAGGCCTCTTATGTTCAGCATTCTTGCGGCCTCTTGGTTTATCTTTTATTTAAAAAACAAGCACTTTCCCTTTTAAGAAGACTTAAAGAAGAAGACCACAGAGGCCCTGGGTTGACCTTATTAGGAATATCATCTCTAAATGACAACATACTGATCACAGCAAATTAATAAATAAACAAATAAATAAAGCAAAGACCGCCTCTGAAGTTTGATAATTTTGCTTAAAGAGATTTTTTTACATAAGCTGACTATTTAAAATGTTCTAATTTTTAACAGGAGCCAAACTTTAGAATAAAACTGTTAATGTAAATGTATGTGTTAATCTCTGAAATATTAAATGTTGTTGTTTTTTCTCCAACAACAGATCAATATTTTCAACAAGGATGGGTCTATTTCCGCCCAAGTTTCTATTATATTTCTTCTATTGCAAAATCCTGGAAAGACAGTAGAGACGACTGTTTACAGAGAGGTGCAGACCTGGCAATTATTAACACCAAAGAAGAGCAGGTTTGTGAATGTGACGTAATAATAATGGAAAGAAATTCATAAATACGTGATTAGTTCCATTAATTAATTATTTACTTTTGATTTGCTAGGACTTTACAAGAAACTTTAAAAAAATCATGTGGATTGGACTAACTGAGACAGCCATGAAAGGGACATGGAAATGGGTGGATGGGACTCCACTGAGCGAAAGGTTTATACATTATTGTTTTATTCTACTTTAATCAGTGGCAAAACTAATGCCCTCACATATTGTTGTGCCAGATTACTGCAGTTTATTTAAGGAAGCTATTTGAATTTTCTAACTTTCTAACTTGTCCACATTATAGTGAGCTGCATGCATCCTGGATTAAATTCTCTGTTTTGTTTGTTTGTTTTTCAGTTACTGGGGACCTGATGAACCCAATGGTTTTGAAGGAAAAAATGAAGACTGTGTCGAAATAAATTTTTTTGATTTCGAAAACAGCTGGAATGACATACCATGTGAAAATAAAAACTTCTGGATCTGTGAAAAGAAACTGTCTTCTTAAGTAAGCCAGTAACATCGTGCAAATACACTTCCTCATCTGAAGGCTTAAAATCACATTTCATGTACAAATGCCTGAAAGCTGTCTCACAATCCTTTGACTGCATACTGCATATGTGAGCAGTGATATTGCATATGTGCATAGGAATATGTGATATTGATGAGATAGTTTTGCTGTTTTTCAAACCCACACACACAATTGCAGTAAGTTTGATCACACAGTTCAACATCTTAAATGACTAAAATAACTAACAACTACAAAGTCTGGTTGGTATGTTTAATTGTCTGCCATTTCTCTTTTTACATGTTGAATTTTCTTTGCTGCATAACAAGGACGACTTTGACAGAACTCACCGAAGATCTAAGAGTTGTAGATTGAAGTGGAAGATAGAAGTTAAGAAAGTCTCTCGGATCCATTTATAAAACAACTGCAGATTTCAAGATAATTGGTTCAAACAAATGTGTAAAAGTACAAGTTATTTCAAAGAGTAACCACTTTGCCAAGGTCTCAAAAAAGACCTACACTCTCACATTTAAATGTGACAAAAATGCAAGGAGCTGAGAAATCAGGAAGGGCGCAAATTGTTTTTTTCAAAGCACTGTATGTAACGATCAATAAATGTATTTACCAATAATCATGCCTCTTCTGTCCAAATGCAACCTTGAAAGATTAATGCATGCTCTTATAACCTTTCTGCCATGTACTTTTTTATCAGAATTTGCCAGGCCTGCATTGCTTGCCTACGGCTGGTGTAAAATGCTGCAGCTTGATTTTTATGTGGTGCAAACAAGCAAGATCATGCCACCTCAAATCTTAGCCTCCCTTCACTGGCTTCCAGTTTGTTTACTAATCTATTTTAAAAGGCTTGTTGTGGCCCCTTTTATCTGTGCCAGCTGCTGGAAACATATGTCCCGTCTTGTTCTCTAAGATCAGCAGACCAGATGCTTTTGCTCGTTCCAAAGATGCAACACAAACTCAGAGGTGATAGACCTTACACAATTTCACATCAGACTTCTCCCTTTGCCATTTTTAAATCTCTTTTGAAGACACACTTTTACACCCTGGCCTTCAGTTGAAAAGTTCACTGTCATCTTGAGTTACTTTTTGTGTACTCCTTTATTGTTTAACTTCTACTGCTGTTTTGTGTTTCTATATCTGTTACCCTCCGGCCTGTGTTTGTCTTTTATG